CCTATGACAGGTCTAGCCACAGGATCCTGGCCCCAGCAATGGTGCCAGTTATGGGTTTCAGCTTATGGGGTGGCCTTAAAGCCAATCATCAAGTGGTTGGCTAGTCCCGTAACATTCACCCCATAACATTGCACTTGTGAGGACGTGGGCAGTTCTTTCCAGGGTGGCCACTGTTTTAGCCCATAGGGTACACAGATGGGTAATATTGATGAGCTCTTTTCTCCATCAGTAGTGAACATAGCACTATGAGCACTGGCCAGCGGGGATAAAACTTTCAGTAACTACAAGCTGAGTTCTCCATGTCCTATGACGGAAGCATGTGGTGTCTTCTGTGACAGGGTCTGACGCTCAAGTTCTGGAGCACTAAGAGCACTGACAATAGCCTGTAATGTGAGGGGGTGGTCTATGGGATCCCAGCTGAGACAACTGCAAAGGACATATATTCCTGGATAGATGTCTGTCAGCTGATGAATATAGCAAGTATAACACAATGGGCCATTATTCCGATGTCAAGAAGCATGCAATTCAAGGTAAACGTTCGGGGCTGAAAACAATCATTCTGAGGGAGGTGGCCCGGAAAGACAAATGACGCACGTTTTCTCTCATTTGAGGATGTTAGCCTTGAATCTTCAGAGGTATGTGTTTTATTTGGAATATCTATGGAGATCAGGATGTTAGAAAGGCGGGGGGGGGGATTTCAAGAGGGAGATAGAATGAAGTGGCATAAAAGGTTAAAGAGGACTAGGAGGCCAGGAAGATTTTAAATGGCATTACCTTGTAATGGGACAACAATGCCCCCTACGAGACACCAGAGGATAACAAATTAAAGGAGGCCCGTTTTCAGTGAGAGCATTTCCCATGATCCCCCTGGTCATCATTTGGTTCAAGGTCAGCAACTAACAAATACAAATATCACAGCGTTATCACCTCCGTGTAGCTGTCCTCTCACCCTCCACTCTTATCTGTCCCCACCAGCCACTTCCCCATCACGCAGAGAACGGCCAACAGATGAGTCATAGTCAACCTGGCTTTCCACATCAGCTCTGCCCGCCCGCCCGCTCGCTCTCTCACCCACGCCCATCACCGTTTTCTGCAAGGACAAAGTCTGCTGTCATCTCCTCATTAGTCACAAGACATTCTCCATACCCCAGCGGGCACATTCGTTTACACACGTCTTTACACGTAGACTCTGGATCACACAGTCAATTCTGGTTCACCAGCAACCCCCACCTTCAAACCCTGCCATTGTGTGAATGACCCCGAGAGGATTGTGGAATCTTAGGCTTTGTGTTTATGCTCTGAAAAAAAAAAAAAAAACAAAAACAAAAAACCCACAAGCATTTAGTCTTCCTCCAACATTCCCTGCACAGAGGCTATCTAACACACGCACCCTAGGGAGAAATAAAAACTGAACCATGCTTTGCACATGAAATCCAGGAAGGGGCTGGTACAGCAGCTCGCAGGCACAATAACACCCTACAATTGTTCTTCCTAGTCCAGAATGCCACCACCGAGTGTGTGCCCCTGGTTGAAGGGATCCTTACTGAGTCCAAATACGACTCCGGAGTTGGAGAGACGGCTCAGTCCGTGAAGACTTGCTGCAGAAGCATGACTACCTAAGCGTAATGCCCCCAACTCCCACAGAAGCCATGCGTGGTGGATCATGCGTGCAGCCTCGGCCATGGCAAGATGGGAGGGGGAGACTGATGGATCCCTGGAAGCTGGCTGGCAGCTAGCCGGGCCCTACTTGATGAAGTTCTAGGCCAGTGAGAGATCCTGTCAGGAACCAAAAGGGTGAGGGGCCTGAAGAGTGACACTCAAGGTTTTCCCAGCTTCAACACACACACACACACACACACACACACACACACACACACACACACACACTCACACACTTTCAGTTGAACAATGGCAGATATAAATTGGATGCTCCCTTCAAAGATGGCAGATGTTAGCTTTTCCCAGTCGATCCTGAATGTCACATGGTTATGACAATAGCACTTGGACATCAGGGATGGTCAGCAAGAGCAAGAAGGAGTGACCAGTTGTCGGCCTCATCTGCTTATTCCGAGGAGCAGTAATGACTGAGTGGTGACACGGCTGTCACCAGATGGCTTAGTGAGGCTATCCGTGCCCTCATCAGTCTCTCCATCATCGCCCAACACTCTCTCACTTCCAATTTGGGCATGTTACCTTAGCTAGACATAAAGCCCCCGGGAGAGAAAAGAGACTGTTGTGGCTGTTAAACACAGCTGCTTAGAGCTGAGGGTTGCACCATGTAAGATTCGCTTTGTAAGAAGAAGTTTGACGGCCCGCGGAGACAGCTAGTGTGGGGGACGTGGTGGCTATCAACGAACTCAAGGGACACATACCCGTCTTGAGCCATTTCCTCAGAAAAGAATGACTTTTTCTCTCCCAGCAACAGCTAACAGCTCCTCGGGTCAGGGAGGGGTGGGTCCTAGAGGATGCTGGGACCTTGGCCAGTTTGATCTTGTGCAGGCAGCCACAGCTGCATGGAGGGCATGGCTTGAGGGGCCATTTTGGCTCCATCTCTCCATGTGCATATTCTTGGGCCATTCAAATCTAGCACCGAGACGGTGGATTTATTACTTTAGCGGCTTTACTTTTTAAACTCTAAAAGCACGACGGAATTCATGTTCCCACACCCATTCAGTAGGGGAAATCACCGTCGGAGCCCTCCTCGTCTCAATACCTTCTTCTAGTCCGCTGAGCCTACCTATATCATCTGCTTTGAGGTCCTGGCTTGCTAAGCTCTGCATCTGGCTGGACTCATCCTCCAAGGCAGTTCCATGATCTACTTCCCCCAAGCCCTTCAGGAATGGATTATGCTTTTTCTTTTTCTGTTTCAAATTTCTTATATGAGTTTTGCCGAGATCTGAGCATTTTAAATAATAAATCATAGCAACTGTAGGTACTGGCTTTCCCTCTTCCCCTTAACGCTTAATGTTTTTATAGCTTGTTTGGTCAGTACTTTATTTTCAGTGTTTGGGATCAACTAATTCTTTCAAGCCTACCTTCCCGACTACTTGCAGTTTCTAACGTGCCTGCCAACATTTTTTTCCTCCCCGGGCTTTTCAGCCATTTTCCTAGGAGTTGATTTAGTTTGCATCAGCTGCCTCATTGGTAGGCGGTTGTGTTTAGGCCTCTCTGCCAGTTAGATCTTTACTCATCAGCTTGGGCCAGGTGTGTGGGCAGGAGAATGCTCTGTTTGGAATGTTTGTGAGTTTGCCTGCGTTTGGTTGGAAGTTCATTCCTCCAGCCAGCCTCAAGGTAGCCTCGAGCCCTTGATGTGCTGCAGGCTTCCAGCCCAGTGCCATCCCACCGCTAAGCCCATCTTCCTACCCAACAAATTCAGGTCAGAGTAGCTTACTGCTCAGTTATTGGTCAGCCTGCATTATACGTGAGCCCCGCTGGCCAGTCAGTCAGTCCGGTGAGCTCTGCTGAGGGAACTGGGCGAGGTTTGGAGAATTATTCCAAGTCAGAAATGCTTTTTGTTCTAACCTCTCCAGAGCGGATGGTACCCACACAGGCAACCCTCCCCAGCCGTCAATTCTAGAATGCTGATCCTGGCTATACCACCCTGGGATCAACGCTCAGCTTCTGGCCATACCTGTCCTGGAGCTGATGCTCCTTCTGTGTTGCTGCTCACTGCAACTTATTTGAAATCTTTGTTGTGTGTGCTTATCAGGCTGTATGTATGGAGGTCACAGGGCAACCTTGGGTGTCCTCACCTTCTACATTGTTTGAGACAAGGTCCCTAGTTGTCATTTCAGTGCACGCCAGGCTGGCTGGCCTATGAGTTTCTGGCTATCTCTTGCCTCCACCTCCCATCTTGATTTAGGAATGCTGGGATTAGCTTTACGTGGTTTCTGGAGATTTGGATTCACTTGCATGTATTTTTGGTAACTTCTCCAGCTCTCTTTTGAGGAAAAATCAGTCAATGTGATTCACCATCCTTAAATCCCCCATCTTCTGTGGCCAGAGCCTAAGCACCTGAGTTGGGGGATACCAGTGAGGTTATCCAGCCTCTCCTGGAGTCTCTCCTACAGCTGAGTCCCTGACGGGAGCTGTCTCAGGATCTCCTCAGGTTTTCCCCATTGTCACAGCCCTTCCCTTTTAGTGGGAACAGCATGGATGAAGGGAGCGTCACAGGTTGAATCAATAGGTTCAAGTTTAAAGTGTTATGTTGACATTCCCACTTACAGTGTGGAATGTGGCAGTTTTGGGAAATGGGGTCTTTACAGGGGGGATCAAGTTAAAAATGGGGCCATTGCTATGGGCCCTAATTCAATCTGAAAGGTATCCCAGTTAATCAGGGTAATTGGACACAGGGGCAGGTCTACACAGAGAGAAGACACACAGGAGGGGGCTCCTGGGAAGAGAGAGTGAAGCTTCTGCAGGCTGAGGAATGCCACCGGATGGCGGAAGACTGGCAGATCACCAGGTGCTGGGGAGAGGTGAGAACGGTTTCCCTCGGGTTTCATGGGGAGAAGGTTCTGGGGGCTCCTTACTTTCGGATGTTTGCCATCCAGAACTACAAGGCAGTTCCTTTCTGTCTTTCAACTCTCCATTTTGTGGCTGCTTCATCATGGTACCTCTGAGACTCAGGCTATTCACCATGATGGCCTGGCCTTGCAGCTCCACAGGCCAGTCCAGGCCCGGGAAGCACAAAGGATTCTGGCAGTCTGCTCCCTGTGGGGGAGATCAAGAGCCACAGCGAGGAGAGGGAACCCTGTCTTCTTGGCCATGCCCACCCAAAGCAGAATGGGTCCTGGGCAGGGCAGCAATGGCTGTGATACCACAGGCCCAGCAGTTCTCAAACTGCTGACTGGCAGTGACTCTTCTGTCCCTGCTGTGGGCTCTTAGAGACTGTGAATGGCTGATTCTAATGTCCTGTTAAATGTGCATCCGCTGGGGAGTGGGTTCGCTGTGTTCCCCGTAACATCATCTGGAAAGGAAAGAGGCCTCAGTCAACGGCGCTTTACTCCCTGGTTGTCTCTCCACAAGACTCCATTTCTGGCCCTTAGAGACAAGAAGGATTTATTTAATTCAGAGGTAATGGTCAGAATCTAGAATGAGTAGACTCCTAGTCCAGCGGGCACGTCAGCCTGTGGCTCAGGAGGTTTGCATCTCATGCCAGCATCCCCGAAGGGCCTCGTGTTCCTAGAGGGACCTTTTGTGAGCACCTCGTCCTTGTCACAGGGAGCCCAGTGACTCAGGGCATGGTGTTGTAGACACTGTAATTGTCCTTTTGGGTGATGTGTAGCTTCCAGGGGAAGAGGCGCTTCTGGGAGGGGAGGCCTTGGGCCTGCCTCACCATGAGTCCCACGTCCTCATCGGACAGCAGCCGAACCAGATCCCCCTCGGCATCCTGGTAATTGAGGGTGATGTCCTCTCTCTGGAACTCACGCCTGGGGGAACACAGTAGGGTTAGTCCTCGGCTCCCGGGAGAACCCAGGGTCTTTGGATTTGAGTGGTATAGACCCTCGTCATCTAAGCAGCCTTACTCCCGTTCTTCAGATGAGGAAACTGAGACCTCAAAGGAGGACAGGCCTTTGTAACCCACTGATGTACAGCCGGAAGCGACTGGCAGATGAGTGGGTGCAAGGCTTAGGAGTTTCCTAAAAGAAGGAACGGCAGCCAACGGAGGCCGGTAGGAACCGGCTGACAGCTTTGGGAGGAAGACCATGCTTCCCCTCGGAGGACGGAACAAGATCTGAAGGAACTTCCCACGTACCATTTGACCCCTCGGGCCCAGTCTAATCCTCTTGCACACACTTCCACCCCATGGTCCCACTTCTTGAGAATTATCCCCCAGAAAATAATGAGACAGTAAATTCGGTTGACCATGGTTAACAAAGGGGGAGGTGGGATAAGCCATTGAGAGGCCTTGAGAATGGTGGGCGTGGCCAGGCTCTGTATGTGTGTATGTGTGTGTGTGTGTGCATGTTTACACATGTAGGTGCATGTGCTGAAGAAATCTGAGCACACAGCAGATGATTAGAGGGCTGATATGTGGTAACAGACATCACATCCTCATTACGAGCCGATTGTTTTCTATCGTGAGAGGTGGGACAGCGCTATTTGGTTCCAGGAAGTAACTGTTGAGCACCAGCCTGGACCTCGAGGCTTTCAGCTGGAGAGACGCGTATTCTAACATCGACAGTCACACACTGTGACCTCAATTGAGCCCTTGCCCCTCTGCAGCCTGCTCGGCTCCTCTCTGAGGTGTTGTGGGTCACAGGGAATGGAGCTGTCACGGGTGGCTGCCTCCCCCTCACCCTGTTCTCCTCTCCAGGCTTCCTTCCTGCTCTCCCACCCAGCCTCTCACCTCATGAGTTCTAGCAGGTCTTTGAACCTGGGGGTGCTGTTGAGATCCTCCTCCACCGCAATGTCCCTAAGGGGAACAGAAGAGAGGACACATCAGGGGGACATACTTGGGGGACAAGAACAAGCTCTAGCTACAGCCACTCTTGCTGCTTGTGGTTTATCTGGAAGGCAGCAGGAGCTACAGCAGCTGCAAGGCAGTGGAGAGAAAACACGGGCGTGTTCCCTGGGAGACAGTGGCATCATTGGGGGGGGGGGGGCAACAGGTAGGAGGGGCCTGTCCTCCCAGCAGGTCACCAACTTGATGGTTTTGACTGTATCTTCGTAGTAGTAGCAGCGCAGCCAGTTGGTGGTGTCATCTTCTTCCGGGAAGTCCTTGAGGATCTTCACAAAGGACCCTGGGAAGATGCCCGTGGCTCCCTGAGCTGTGCCCTGTAGGGGAAAGAAGAAGCTGCTTCATGGGGAAGTAAGGCCCAGGGCCAGCTCTCAGAGACACACTCTCTATAAAAAGGATTGCCCTAGATTGACTCCCAAAGTCCATGTGTCAAAGGCTTGGTCTCCAGGCTGGCTCTGCTGGGGTGTTGTGGGAGAGGACACACAAGTCCTAGCGGAGGTGCCTTCTATCTCCGGGAAGAAGGTTTCCTTCCTCAGGTAGTGGGACCTTCTTTCTTCTTCCACCTTTTTCAAAACTATTTTACTTATTTATTTTTCTTTCTGACCATACGGCAATACTCTTGCTCTCTCACAAGAGGTCACAGTGAGTGGCCTCAGGGCAGGAACTGGGGCCTCCAGGACAGTGAGCCATCACAAACCTTTTCTCTTCATAAGCTATTTGCCTTGGGTGTTTTGGTAGAGCGACCAAAGTCAACTAACACACGGAGAAAAGGTGAAGAGATTTACCAAGCTGCCCAACCCAGAAGACCTGCACTTAGGTTTTAGAAAAACTCTGAATTTATCTGGAAAGATGCATGCCTCTCCCTCTCTCCCCACTCCTTCCTCTTCCCTTCTTCCTTTCCTCTCTCCCTCATTCATTCTTTGCTTCAACACACAGTCCCTATTATGCCCAATCTCTGGGCTCTGGTGTCACAGAATCACTGCTTTCTCGAGCAGCCCTCTTGGCCGCATAGAATGGCTGCGGACATGCGAACACACAGTCCCCCTGTGGCAGAGAGCCACATGTATAAAGGAGGAAAGCGGGGGAGGGTGCAGATGTTGTGGTTACAGAGACACCCAAAAGTGCTTCATGCTCCTTCCCATCCTCTGGGTGTCACACAGAGGCTCCGGCTTCTCCGCTAAGCGCAGGCCCAGGGCGTGTGAGCTTCTGCCTTTGTGCACTGGGTCGTAAGAGGAACTGTTTTTTGACCACTGTCCTGTTTTCTGGAAAGATTTACTGTCTGGGATGTCGTCACCGCCAGACCTCAGGCTGCAGGAAGAGGAGGCTCGGTTTACGGGAGGATGTGAGTCCCGGGGCTCATGTGATCATTGACAGCCTTCACGATCATGAGACAGAAGATGCATTCTTTCCTGTGTGCATACATGTGTGCGTGCGTACATGTAAAATACATGTGTGCGCGTGTGCACATGCTCATGTATGTGCATGTGTGTAGACATGACCATGCGTATGTGTGTTTATGTTAGCGTGGCCATGTGTGTACATGTGGATGTGTGTGTGTGTTTATATGAGTGTGTGCATGCATATATAGCCCAGAGGACAACTTCACATGTCATCATTCAGGCTCTAGCTCTATTTTTTTTTTTTTCCTTTTGAAACAAAGTCTCTCGTTGACCTGGAACTCGTCTGTCAAGTTGACATAGCTAATGTCATCTGGGAAGAGGGAGCCTCAGCTGAGAAAGTTCTGTCACCAGCTTGGCCCGCGGGCGACACTGTGGAGAATCTCCTGATTAACGATTGGTGTGGGAGAGCCCAGTCCACTCTGTGTGGGGCCACCGCCGGGGAGAAGGTCCTGCGCTGTAGAAGAAAGCAGGCTGAGCAAGCCATGGGGAGCAGGCCGGTAAGCAGCACCCCTCCATGGCCTCTGCTTCAGTTTCTGCCTCCAGGTTCCTTCCTGTCCTGACTTCCTGGAATGTGTGACCAAAGAAACCCCTTCCCCTCCAGGTTGCCTTTGGTCATGCTGTTTGTCACAGCAATGGAAAGCAAACTAGAGCATGGCCCATCTGTGGCCGGTCTGACTGAACAGCAAGCCCTGAGGGTCCACTTGTCTCCGCCACCCCAGAGCTAGATGATAAGTGTAAGCTGCCATTGCTGGCTCTTTACTTTGGTTCCTGGGCCTGAGCTCAGGTCCTGTTCGCTGCCTGAGTTATCTCTGCAGCCCCAGGAATCACGTCGTCTTCATGACACCACGCAGACACGTAAACCGAGGCTCCTCTTCCTGCAGCCTGAGGTCTGACGGTGACGGCATCCCAGACAGTAAGACTTTCCAGAAAACAGGACAGTGGTCAGCAGTTCCTCTTATGACCCAGCGCACGAAGAGGCAGAGGCTCAAACGCCCTGGGCCCTACACGCCACACTCACTGCTCTCCAGCCTCATAACACCAGGGTCCCTGCCTCAGCCCATCCCAGAGCCTCCTTCAGACACAGCGAGGGCCAGAGACTGTCCAATAGTGACAATATCACGATAGAGACGGCCAGGCCCAGGCCAGGGACTGGGTACACAGCCACACCTGTCAGTATGTCAGCTTCAGGGTCTCATGTAAGCCTTTCCGGTCCCCTCGCATGCAAAGGGAACTAGGCATGCAGACTCTCTGGGGACAAGGCCCGGACAACATCCGCCTCTCCCTCATCCCTGCCAGGAACCGCTGAAGAAACAGTGTTTTCATCATTTACAGAAAAGGAAACCATAGGATTGAGCAACCTCCTGAAGTGCGAGAGGCTGGCTAAAAACAGCGAACTGTCCAGACATGCTTAGTGAAGCTTTCTGTTGTTTCACAGTGCGCATGGTGGGACCCAGGGCCTTCCACGCTAGGCAAGCGCTCCTCCACTGAGCTGCTTCGGGCGTGGACACCCACTCTCAATTATAGTCACTCTTGCAGCTGGCCAGGGAAGTAATATCCCATCTGAGCCCCCACGTTCCTCAATGGAGGAAAGTTTGACCCCTTTGGGTCAAACACAGGGAAACACAGGGAGACCTATGTGATTGCTGTGGCTTGGTACACTGCCAGCGCCTAGTTGGGGGCCAGGGTACTGCTGGACACCCCGCAATGTACACAGCAGCCCGCCCTCCCCCAGAATTCAGCCCCCCAAAGCCAAGAGGGTCAGTTCTTAGAATCCCTGTTAGTAGTCAAGAAACTGAACAAAACAGAGGGGGTGTGAAATGGCTCAGGGGATGGGGAGGCTTGATTACGACCTGAGCTCCACCCCCAGAACCAGCCTGGTGGCAGGAGAGAACCAGCTCCCACAAGCTGTTCTCTGACTGTCATGTGCATCTGGCTCCACCTTGCCTGTGACCCACAGGTCACCCAAACCTGCCTGGACCGCCAGGATTGTAACAGAGGACTTGTACTCTCTGGCTTCCCTTGACTTTTCATGGTGTCTGCCTGTGGAATACCCAAACTACCCTTCTGTCCTCATCTCCACCTTTGCCCCTCCCCTTACCCCCATCCTCATCTCCAGTATCAGCCCCATCCCCACTCCTATTCTAATTTCCACCCTCATCTTCATCCTCACCCTGTCTTCATCTCCAAGCATCACCATGCTTGCTCCTATCCTTAACTCCAATCCCACCTCTATTTTCACCCCTATCCTCATCCCCCTTCTCACCTTCACCCTCACCTTCACCTCCATCCTTACCCCATCCTCAACTCCATCCTCACCTTCACCTTTACCTCCATCCTCAACCCCATCCTTACCTCTATCCTCAACTCCCCATCACCCCATCCTTGCCTCCAATCCCAACCCCTTCCTTACCCCCTCCTTACCTCCATTCCCACCTCCCACCTTTATCCTCACACCCAATCTCGTCCCCATCCTCACCCCCATTCTTACCCCATCCTCACCTTAATCCTCAACTCCATCATAACCCACATCTTCACCTCCACCCTCATCACCTTTCTCGCTCCCATACTTAACTCTAATCTCACCTCCATTCCCATCTACAACTTCATTTCCACCTTCACCTCCAACCTCACCTCTAACTTCATCTCCACCCTCACCTCCACTGCCACCTCTGCCCTTTCCCTAGTCTCATCTCCATCTAATCTCCACCCTCACCTCCAAATTCACTTTCGCCCTCACTTCCACCATCATCTACACACTCTCTGACATCACCTCCAGCCTCAGATAACCCTACTGACCCCAGCCACCTCCATCTCACCTCTAGCCAGTCTCTGTTGATCCTACTGAGAAGGAAGATCACATCCCCAGCTTTGAAGCTCAGCTCCAATTTGTTGTTCCCAGTGAAGTCGAACAGGGCCTGAGGGGGTGAGTGGAAGGAAATGCTGTCCCTTTATACAGGTAAGGAAACTGCAGCCTGGAGGGGTGTGGAGACAGCCCCTCTATTTGTGGGGTTTCAGATTAGAACCCTACTCTCTCCAACTGCAGAATGGATGGTTCTCTCAGAGCTGGTAGGGTGCAGCTCTGAGGGGCGGGTATCCAAATTCTGTGCTGGGCTTGTCCTGCTCCCCCACCTCCTTGGCCTCACTGTGAGTGGCCTACAGCTTTCCCATCCTCCACTGCTGTCTACCAGGGCACTACCCACCCTGGCTTTTGGAATACCATGTGTGTGTTACTGGAGGACAGGGCCCTGTCTGAGGCTTCGGTCACGAAACTAGGCTAGCCCAAGAAACCCAGCCAGCTGAGCTGATGATTGGCCCCCTACTCTCCTGCTTCTACAGGCAGCAGGCCGGGGCGGCCAGCATCGGAGCGGAGGCAGCTCCTGCCCTGCCCCCAGCACCATCCAAGATGCACAGCGGCGCACAGCAGGCGGACACAGCTGCCGAGGATGAGGTCTAGCCTGTGGGTACCTCTGCTCTGGGAGCTTCCATGCGGTCCACGAGGGCGCCTTGCGGAGACACGCCCTTACTGTGGAAAGAAAGGGGGGTGTCAGCCGCGGGGATCCCCCGGGGCTCAGCTCCTGGCTTTTGGGCAGCCACCAGCCAAAGTTGCTCTCGCAGCTAGCCCTGCGTCCTGTATTCCCACCGCTACCCCAGGTGACGTAGCTCTCCCAGAGGCAGAGCTTGGAGTAGGAGGGGAGAGGAGATCATGGCTCAGCGCCTTTAACTCTCCATCTGGCCTCAGCTTGGCTCCCGAAGCCAAACTCTTCCACGGTGTCACTATTCTATTTCAGCCCGGGGAAAACAGGCTGCGGAGAGGTGCCTGCGTGGCTGCGGTCCAGACCAGGCCTTCCTAGCTGCAACGGGAGGTGAGTGGGAAGAAAGGGAATTTGGGGGAGGTCAGGGCTCAGGAACCCTGCCTGCTTTTCCTCGGCTCCTCGAAGAAGTGGCTCGCTTGGAAACCTGTGGCATTTCACCACTGTGGTGCCTAGAGGCTTGCGTGGTTATTTTTTCTGTGAGGGCCAGGGGTGAGAAGGGAGCCCTGGACTCTTCGGAATGACACCCAGCAGCGACCCCTGGGTGTCAGGGATTGGACTCGGGCTCGGGCTCAGAGAGGGCGCAGCGAAGGCCACCTACATTTTGCGCGTGCGCGGTCGGAGCCTCCGGAGTGCTTGGGGCACCTGCTCGGCGTCGTAAGCAGATTGATAGAAGAAGATTCTGACGTCGGGGTCCATCAGCACGCAGACCGGCAGGCTCAGGAGGGTCTGTGTGGAGACGGGCAGGACAGGGCGAGCAGTCGACCAAAAGATCTGGACAGTCCTGTCGCCACGCCCGCCCTGCCTCCTCATCTCCGCTAATGAATGCTCAGGTGGTAATAAAAAACGGGTGATTAGCCCTCAGCTGCTGAAGGAGACAGCTCCCAAGCTTTGCTCCTCGCCCAGAGTGAGCAGAGCCGGGAGTGAGGGGATGAGGGATGGGGGTGGGGGTGGGGGTGTGTGAGGTGTTGGCTTGAAAGTTCATCTGAAATCACCTAAAGGTCTCCAGAGATGGGTTAAGGGAGCAGATTAAACCAGGAACTTATCCTGTAATAACCTGGAAGCTAGGATCAGAGAGGGAAAGGGTCTGCCCAAAGCCACACAGCTTAGTAAGTAACACAGCCGGGCACTGGAGCCGCTGAAGATGCTTATGTCTCATGTAGCCTAGCCCCGCCTCAGACTTGCTACTTAACCAAGCTGGGACTTTTGATGATCCTGCCTCTACCTCCTAAGTGTTGGGATTGTGGCTGTGGGCCACCATATCCGCTTTCTTTGGTCCAAGAATTCAAACCCAGGAATTCTTGACGCTAGTCAAGAACTCTATCAACCGAGTCATCCATCAGTGCAGTGCCTGGCTGGGGAGGGAGGGGCAGATCTGGGAGGTGATTGGGATGGGGGGGCTTGTAGATTGATGTCTCCTGCTCCACGCACACTCCTCTCCACCCCGTGCTCCCACACTGTGACTAAGCTATGAGGGCATGGAGCAGGGAGGCCTGACATGCCTAACCCCCTAGCCCCACAGGGCTCAGGTACCCTGCAGAGCTTTGGCTAGTTTAGAGGAGTTACAGTTCTATGGGAAATCTCTCAGGATCACAGTCTAGAAGCAGGTTCACAGCTCTGGAACCACCTTCAGCTCTGGAACCACCTTCCCCTCATGCTGTCCATAGAGCCCAGCTTCAGTCTGTGAGAGCGGAGGGCTGGAGGGGCTGTCCATTTCACAACAGAGGCTGTCAAGGCTTCTTGAGAGGATTGCTTGCTCACTCCAAGGTACCCATCCGAACAAAAGTCTCCAAACCCAGAGCCCTCTGTCTGTAAAAAGCACCTCTGAACACCAAGGAAGGTTTTCCATCAAACCATGGCTTGGATGCTTCCATTGGGGTGCTCACTACCTTGCAAGGAGCACTGGTCCTTTCCTGCATGGCTGTGATAGGAGGACATCCCTTCCTGACCACCCCAGCCTCTGCCTCTAACACCGATTCTTCTGTGTCCCCGTGCCATAGAAAGCTGACAGTGTGCAGAGGGGGAGCACACAGAACACCCCTCCAAGAGCAGAGAGTGTAGCCCAAACCCTGTTGTGCTTGGGTAAAAAGAGGTATTGGCTAGAAGGGGGCCCTTCTCTGGTCTGTGGGAGGAGATGTGATCAGCTGTCATGCCCCCATTGTGCGGGCAGGAGACACCTCCGTGTGAGTTTGTGGTTCACCAGCTACTGGCCCCACTGGGGAGCAGGTACTGTGTCCTAGAGCCGGGCACAGATATTCCCCTGGGCTTGGTGCACTCAGGGGTTTGTCAAGCGTGACTTCTTGTGAGCAGGCCTCTGGGTCCCTGAGAACATATCCCGTTTCTCTCTCCAGCTAGGCCTTTTGGGATTGAAGATGGTGTCACTGAGCCTCAAAGAAAGCTCAGTTCTTAAATTCATGCCCCAACATGCTACCCTGCCCATTCGAGCACCAAGGAAACATGACAGCAAGTACCTTCATGTAGGCATTGAGGGCCGGGATCCGAGTCTCAGCGATCTCCTGCTTCACGCCCATGTAGACTTTGGCTGAGGAGAGAAAAGCTGCCTGGACCACACAGTGCCTGCCCTTCAATTGCCCCACCGGCCAGATAACTGTGCAGTGCCTCTCTCCCCAGCTCAGAGCTCGTCCTGCCTTTTGTCATGGTGCCAAGGTGATACCAAGATACTTCCCAATTGCATCTTCCAATCACATCATCATTAGAAGATAGGAGTTCTCTATGCTGCGCCTGCTCCTACACACAAAGGTACTCACACATATGCACACACAGCACACCCATGTAAAGCTCATACACACAGAAACCCGTGCACACACACCATCACTCACCCAGACACGTGCATACACACTCGCCTGCGTGCACACATAGAGAGATGCATGCGTGAGCACACACGCATACAAATGCACCCACATGAACTTATACATACATACTTACATATGCGCACACAGATATCACAGATACACCTGCATTCAGGAACATGGTCATACATACATACATGCGTACACACATAGACAGTATGCCTGTGTGCACGTGTAGATACAAACACATATATGCAAATACACATGTAAGAATGCCACAGGGTTCTACACACAAGCATACATACACACACACACAAAACATTCTTTAGCAGCTGCACATGCATGCACACAAGCCTTAGCTCTGAGCACGGGATCCCTGTATGCCCTGTCCCTAGTGCTGTCCCTAGCCTCAGGCTTGGATAACATTCAGGTCACCACCGGAGCTTCTGAGCATCCTGCTAGGTCGGGTTTCCCAGAACAGCCATCTCGGCAGCTTGAAGGTGGAGGGCTTCCTAAGGTCCCATCCGTCAAGCTGCCTTAGTTAGCAACCGTGGTCCCCGAGCCCCACTCACACACACTGACACTGCCGAGGGCTAAGAGCTGGGTGGATGAATAAGCCATGCCCCTAATGCAAGGAGTGTTCTGGGGGAGAACAGACAGGTGATGTCCAACTAAATGACAAATGTTCTCCCGGAGCCTTTAGACAGGCACCTTGAGGAGCTGCCACTCAGAGGGCCACACCAGAAGGCAAACCTGCCCAACCTCTGTGCCACAGATAGGCAGGGGGGAAGAGATTGGGTAGAAAGGAAGCCTTCAGCTTCGGGACATCAGATCAGAACCAAAGGACTCCGTCCTGAGGGAAGTGGCAGGATAAAACCCAGGCCAAGGGAGACGCCAAGGTGAGACCTGGGGATGCTGTTACAAAAGGAGTGAACACAGGGTCTTTGGGGACTCTGGGGACAGGGGGTGCAGAAAAGAGGCTCCCCTCAGGGATGCTGGAGGAGGGGGTAGGATGGGGTGGGGTGGTGAGGCATCTATGCATATGATTTTGGGGGTTGGGGTGGGGGAGGCAGTGTGTCAAGGAGACAGGCCAGAGCTCTTGAAGGGATGTGGGGAGTGGATGGTGGAGGGGTCAGCTCAGAATGGCAGAGTCCCCTCCTCACCACTCAGAAGGGGAAGAAAGAGGGAGAGGGAGAGGGGGAGGGGGGAGGAGAAGCCCTTGCCTCTCAGCTCAGAGTCCTTGTCTGAAGAGAACATGGTTCTTTCCCGAGTGTGTGGAAGGTGCACACTTGGGAGGCTGGCTGGAAGAAGGGAAGATGGGCAGGCCTCTGAGGCTTAGGGAAGAAATGGTATGATAGAGGCAGAGGCATCTTCATCTCTCATGGGCAAGCTCAGGAGGGGGTGGCATGGGACATTTGGAAGGGAGGGCATGCAGGAAGGAGGCAGAGAGGACAGGGAGTGGGGTTGGAGGCTATTTGTACTTAGAACCATGTGGTACCCTGCCTCCCTAAGGGACAGAGAAGGGGAGCCTGGGAGATGTGTCCAGGCTGAAGCTGTTTGGCCGGCTGGAGAGCTGGCCTGATGGGTAGCTGGGGGAGACAGGAGAGAACAGAATCCAGATGCTGAGTGCTCTTAGCCCAGGCTCTCTGGGTGGAGGATGGCTGTGGCAAGGGGGCTGTACTGAGCCTCAGAGGTCAAGGGTTATGAGGCAGGAGCTTTAGAGGGGTGGCAGTGTAGAGGACAGAGGTGTCAGTCGGGGGTAGGGGGGCACTGCCAGCCTATGGCTACAAGAGGAACACTGTCAGCCAGACAGTGTTTGCAAAAAGATTGAAATAACATTCTGCAGAGCTGGGGAGTGAGGCAAAGGCCAGGGCCAGCTCTGGGCATTGGGCTTCGGGCAGCCTACCTGGCAATGTGGGCAGGCTGCAGGTGAACGGGCTACTCTTGCTCTCTGGCCCGAATCGTTCCTCTAGCTTGCTCTGCAGGGCATAGAACTGGCGATAGCGGCGGTAGATGAGGTACTTGGATCCTCCTTTGGTCTTCACCTCGATGACAAAAACCTGAGAAGAAGAGAGGCCTGGAGGGGGGCAGCTGGGAGGTGGAGAGGTCTGGAAAGTGGATAGGATTGGGGGTGGGCTGGAGAGGGACTGGGAGGTGGGAGAGCTGGGAAGGTGGGGAGCCTGGAAGGTAGACACACTGGGAAATGAAGGAGGATAAGGGAACCCATAGATTAGCACAGGGCACTGAGGTAGGGAGGTCCTAGAGGCAGGCAAAGAACTAGGAGGTCAGGGGGAAAGCTAGCAGGAACAGGATGAGGTCAGAGGTCACAGAGAGAGAAAACAGGCTTTCTCAAGCCCTGCAATGTACTGGGTGAGGTGAGCCTTCCCTGGGGCGTCCCATGCTTTAGGATGTGTTTGGAAGCACCCCTACATTCTATCCAGGGTGTGCAGGCAAGCACCCTTTCCAGAGAAACCACAAAGTATCTTAGAGAATTGTGCCAGGTGTTCCAACAGAAAAACGGCCCCACTGATGCAGGAGACAAAAGGTGGAGGGTCAGAGGTTGGAGGGCAAAGGAACTGGGGTTGCTGGTGCTTACAAAGTGGCTGGTGAAGCCCCTTTTCTCCTCGATGTCAGCGATGTTGGCTGAGATGGCCACGTCGTCAGGAAGCTGCTCGAAGTCGCTGTGGGAGGACAGAGGGAGGTCACCAGTTACCACTTTGCCTGTTCCGGGCAAAGCCAGCTGGTGATGCCCTGCGCTCCTCATTCTGAACTTTGTCCATGCCCGTGTTCATTCTCGCTGATGCTGGGAACCCAGAGACATCAGGGCACAGCTCAAGCCTGGGGCATGAGGGAGGCAGAGCTGAGGTTGGATGTCGCTGGCTGGCTTCTCGTCCAACCAACCACTTGGTGGCTTCATTGTCCACCCAGGAGTCTGCCAGGTGCCATCGCCTCTTCTGTGCCAGCCCTGTTTGGGGCTCTGCATCACAGGGCGAAGCGTGTGCTGGGGAGCCTGCAGTGGTTTGCATGGGCCACAGTTAAGGCTTAGTCCTCAGGGCATCCCCATTGAGAAAAGTGCTGTGCACCTCTAGGAAGGGAGCTTCTGAGGACCCCTGCTTCGATTTGCTGCCCTCACCAGAGGCCCAAGGCAAAGGGGCTGCCCCACTTTTGAGTGGGATCTATAGAACCACGAGCCCAAGTAAACCTTTTTACCTCATATATTAATTGACTCCAGTATTTTGTTATAGTAACATGAGGCTGACTGATGGAGAGCCACATCCCCCTGTCAAGAAAATGGTTGACTATGCCTGAGTAGGGGGGAAAAAGCCCCAGAAAGGTAACATTTGAGCCAGCTCTAGGTGGCTCAATTGGAATCCACTGGAAACTAAGGAGGTTCTTCCAGCCCGTAGGAACAGCTTATGCTAAGGTTCTGAGCCCTGAGGAAGAGTTTAGATTTGCCGACGGCAGAACCTGACGAGCTTTGAGGTGGATAGGTTAGTCTGAGGGTCTTGGGAGCGGGGAGCTAGGTTGGCTTTGGGAAATCCTGGTTTGAGGAGGTCACAGGTTGTCAGCCACGTGGATATAGAAGAAGAGGCAGAGACTTAATGAGACCTCCCCATGGGAAGCCCTCAGAGTGAGGGGCGATATGGGGCCGGACACTCAAATGAGAGGACCCCAGAAGATGCTGTTAGCATTTTGCGTGTCCCTGTTTTTTCCTGGCGAGTCAAGTGCCAGGCGTGCTCAGCTTCGAAGGTGCCTAGCTTGGAGAGGAGGTATGTCATGATTGGCCTGAACCAAACACAGCAGTCTGATTCCTGTTCCCACCTGCCCTGGAGGCTCAAGGCAAGCCTGCGACTAGCTCTGGTCAGTGAGATGTCCTGGGGGTGGAGCTGACATCTGGATCTGCACCCATGAGGCAAAAACATGATGCAGAACAAAAGTGTCTGTAGCGTTGGTGTTGAGCTCCCTGAGCTAGGAATCTAGTTGCAGCCTCTCTCTGGACTTGTTCTGTGAAAAAGAACAGCTGGCCACCATTTGAACCGAGACCAGGCTCTCCTTTCCCTGCAGCCTAATGCATTTCCAAGGGCTACATGACCAAGATACAGCAGCCGAGCTGGAGGGGAAGAAAAAGACACAGCAAGAGTGCTGCCTGCATCTGACCAGCACAGGGAGGTGCAGGGCTGGGAGACTCAGGCCATGCTAACATGAGAGGCCTCTGGGTAGACATCCAAGCAGGAGCCTGGTGTGCAGGTGTGGAGATTGTCATGGTGAGGCTGGCCTGAGTAGCTAAGGTAAGAGCCACCTGCCTGTGGCTAATGGTTGTGGTGAAACCCCTTAAACAAATGGAAGAGGGCTGGGGAGGGCAACCAGAGAAAGCGAAAACAGGCCAGCAGACACAGACAAGGTCACCAGGCTAGCTGCCTGCACACGGACAAGGAAGCAGGAAACAGGTATAGCCAGGCCTTGATGGCACAGATCTGTGATCTCAGAAGTTAGGAGTCTGAGGAAAAGAAAGTCAGGATGGGATGGAGAGTTCTAGATCAGCCTGGGTTGCAGCATGAGACTATTTCAAAAGAGGAGGAAGAAGAAGAAGAAGAAGAAGAAGAAGAAGAAGAAGAAGAAGAAGAAGAAGAAGAAGAAGAAGAAGAAGAAGAGTCCAAGGATGATAACGGGATGACAAAGAAGAAGAGATGGAGGAGAAAAGAGGGTAGAAAAAGATTGAGGAAGAGGAGAGGATGAGGAGGGGGAGGAGAAGGAAGAGAGGGCAAAAAGGATGAGCTAGAGGAGGAAGACGGGAAGAGGGATGGTGAGGATGAGAAGGAGGAGGAGCTGGAGAAGCAATTGGGTTCTCCTGGCAGTAACTGAGAGACAAATGGGACAATGTGTCCCATACCTCGAAGTGTGTGTGGGCCCCATGAACCCCTTACACTCTCATCCCAGTTCATGCTGGTCCTCTGGTCTCCCAGTCCCCTGGTCCCCTGGTCTGTCCCGAGCTGGTACCTCAGGACCTAGAAGTCACCAGGCAGTGACTAGGGGAGTCAGCAGGCCAGCAGTGGATGTCTCCCAGGCTGAGGCACCTCTGTGGACACTGGCAAATGGACTTTCCATTTGCCCGAGAGGACACCCTTGGGAAGAGTGGTCTCACGCACTCCCCCCCAGAGGAATTACTGCATTACTTAGTGTATCGCCTCATTCAGTAGTGATTTCACCGGCACTGAGCCTAGGGTGGGGCAGGAAGGAACAGGAAAGAGAGAACTATGGCTGTGGGCCATGACCCGATAGCTGGGCGTACTCCTTAGAGAGAAACCCACCTGCTGAGAGGTGTGGAAACTGAGGCACAGGGAGGTTAAGGAGCTTGCCCAGGTGAGGAAGGGATTTGAGACAGAGCAGCTGAGAGAGCTTGGATGAACCCCAGCACTTGGCCTGTCCCCACATTCTGAACAGATACTGCCAAGCACGCAAAGACCTGATCTTGGCTTCTTGTGCCCCATAGCCCTGAGGAGTAGGGAAATTGGTTGCCCAATAAATAATGCCCCTCCTTCACCACTGCCAAGGCCTTTCTGCAGGAGAGGCTACTCTCATGACATTATTCAAGGAATCAACAGTGGGGCAGGGGATAGCTTGTACTGGTTAAGACTGCTAGAGGGAAGCGGGTTCCCTACACCCGAAGGTAAGGAAAGCACAGGGGAGTTGGCTTACGGAGGCAGGGAGGGCCTTTTGGGCAGGGAGGCAGTAGACAGCACAACCCCCCACCCCGGGGTGGGGACACGTAAGACAGGCAATGTCATGGAATCTCAGGGAGGCAGGCATGCCAGAGCACACGAGGCAGAGCAAGGACAGAGGAGGCCTGACACAGGCAGACACCACATAGGGGGTCTTCATGCCTCGTGGAAGAGCCTCAGCTTATCTGGGGGGGGGGGAGAAGAACCCAGAAGTGTGCTAGGCACCAATGGTATCAGACCAGGGCCTGGGACCAACCTGGTCTAGGACTAGAATTCTATTCAGCTCCCTGCCAGGAGAGACCTTGTGCGGCCTCTCCCTCTGCCCTGACTCCTCCCACCCCTCTGGAAATGGAGACACCTGAGTGCTTATGTCATATGGTCAGGAGGTGGATGGCAAGCAGGGTCCCTGCAGTCCCACGAGAGCAGGACTGCCCTCCCACTGCCCAGAATGGCACTAGGTGCTGAGTAGGCTCTCAGCAGTTACCTCCACCTGTGACGAGCTGGTGGGTGCAGTGTGAGCAGCAGGGCAGCCTGCTGGGTTGGCAAGGAGGCCGTGGTGTGGGGATAGGGCCTGGACCTGGGAAGGTAGCTGTCCCCTCAGACCCCTCTCAGGTTGTTCGGGTCGATCCCAGGCTCTGTGCACAGGAGAGCTACCCATGGCAGCCCACGTGTGGACCGGATCTGGAAGAGCTCTGAAAACTCGTGGTACCTCGATCACGGCAGGAGCTGGCTATGTGGCTATCGGAACTAGACTCCGCAGCTGCCCTTGAAGAGGCCTTTGGACCCTTGTCCACAAGTTTCTAGAAAGCGCTGTTAGATGTGCTGTCTCCTCTCATCTGTACCTTTGCTGGGCTGGTTCCCAAAAAGGACACTGGGGATGCTGGATCTGATGGCCCTGGGACCTGGGTCCGTGACCCCGAGAGAAGCAGAGGAGGGGAAATGCCCCTCTGAGGGCGGAGGACAGAGTGGGCAGAGGAAGCACACAGCCCTGCTGGTCATCACAGGCAGCCTCTGAACCCTGCACCTCAAGAAACAGGAAGGGACCCAACTTCAAGTGGCTACAGTTTCTAGAAGATTCGCATGGTCTGTCGGTCTCCTAGGAGGACTGGAAGATCAGCAGGGCTGGGACCATGTCACGCGAGCTCCTTCAGCACCCCAGCATCCTCCATAGCTTTGGAGCCATTCCGACCCCCACCCCAACACAAACAAGCCTTCTCTGACCTTTGACCCGAAGAAGACCAAGCAGTTTTTGAGATCCCTTGGGCTCTTTTTCCTCCCACCTGGACCTCATCAGCCAGACCCAGTTCTGGTGTCTCTCAAGCCGTTCACATGGACTCTAGCTCCCTAATGTTGCTTTCTGCTTGATCCAGGGGTCAGACTCCCAGCTCTGTCATTTGGATCTCCACCCACAGACCTGGCTCCAGAAGACACACAGAGCAAAAGCTGACTGAAGGAAGTGGCCAGGCTCGGGGCTCTCAGGCCTCGCCGCCCCTATCTGTACAATGTCAATGTTGTCCAAGATAGATCTAGGTCGTTGTTGAGCCCTAGCAGATTTCTTGAGCACTTAGGGTGTACCAGAACTCTTCTGCTTCCCTCATCTGAGACAAATTTGTGATCCAAACTTGTGCCAGACATCTAAGGGCTGTGTAGGAAAAGAAGATGGAGTGAGGGGTCAGGGAACAGAGCCAGGGTTAGACAAATCTAAAGACAGGAAATGTGGAGGCCATTTCTGCCCAAACAGCAGATGGAAAAGCCACCCCTGACCGCAATGTGGAACCAGGAACCCAGAAACCAAGCCTAGGACCCAGGACACCTGTGCTCGTAGGCCCTACCGCCCACTCATCCCGTGGCCTTGGCTACAGCCAAGACACTCCCCTTCACATTCTCCCTGGGACCTGAGGCCTACAGAGTCAGGGTTCCAGAGACAGTTGCATTGCAGGAGCCTGCATTTCTGAGTACCCGAATTTGACTCCGTGTTCATACTCTGGTATCAGGTGACAGGAGGGTACAGGATCTTACCATCCCACCCTCCCCCATCCCACCTCCATTCCCACCCAGGCCTGCTGAGATCAGTGAGAGAGCCTGCGAGGAGACGATGGGGGCACACTCTCACCTCTCCGATCGCAGCTGCTGGGCCAGAGCCATGGCTGCGGGTAGTCAGGACAGCAGGTGGGGGAGGGCCTTGCCCAGCCAAGCCCAGGCTGAGTTCACCTCTCACTTCCTCCTGTGTGCATCTGGGAGCCTCCTGCGGCTTGGGGGAGGGGGCGTCCCCAGGAGCAGCCTTTGAGGAGGTCCCTTCCTCCCCAGCTTCTCTGGACCCTCCCTGAAGTACCTCCTCCCGGCTCTGAGCTGCCTGGCCTCACACTTCTGCTCACCCGCTTCCCAGCTGCACTGCAGTTGAGGAAGTGCCACACTTGGGTGCTGGGCTTGTGTGAGGCCATTAGCTTTGGGGAACTTCCTCAGTGTCTGTTTCTGGTGCTGAGCTCCACCCATCACACGGCAGTTTCGACCCTGGCTAGTCCACGAAGGAGGGCTGTGGTCCTGGGGACTCTCTGCTTATGCTCCTTTCCCGAGCCCCGAGCGTCTGAGGCCTGCTGCTAGAAGCTCTCCTGGTGTCCATCCCTCTATTATGCTAGGCTATGAGGGTTGGTTATGCCCCATCTTTGTGCATCTGGTGCTCTGGGCTCTGAGATCTCACAGTCAGCTGTCCTGGAGCTGCCAACCACATCGGTGCTCTCCTTACTATCTGCCTCCACCTCCCTATTCTGCTCTCCTGCTGGCCTCAGAATCCGCAAGGCCTTGCCAGCTGCCTGCTCTCCCAAGCTCTTCCTTCCCTCACTGCCTCCTTGTTCCCAGTGCTCCCTTCCTGCCTCCTGTAGGTCCTTTGAGTGAGAGGCCTGTCCTGACAGGCCTCCCTCTCGCTCTGGGTGCTTTCCCTGCAGCAAGCTCCTGCCAGCCGGAGTTTCCTGTTTCTGTTTGTTATACATGTGTGCTGGTGGGTTAGGCTTCTTCCAGGCCAGCACCACGCTGCAAACACCTAGAAAAAAGGGAAGTTCCTTGTAGACTCCTTCTAATGCACAGGGACCTTTGATTCTGCAATGAGGGCTCCAAAAGGAAGCCTGCGCTGAGAATGGGCCCAGCAGCATTCAGGATGCCCCATCCTTCCTTAGCCCCTGGACCCCCATAGCTTCACTCACTAAGTGTGCAGAGGTAGGCGAGACAGCAGCCCGCCGCAGTGTCTTCGGCCACCACCAAATAAATAAACCTCTGCCCACCCCACCTGAATCAGGATCCTGTCTTCCAAACTTGGGGATGGGACTGTGGAAACAGGGCCCTTCTGGCCCTGACTCAGCCCAGAGTGGATGGATCCAGAGTCCCAGGATAGAATCTTCCCAGTGAGAACTGCCACCCACCCACCCCCATAGCCAGGCAGGGTGCGGTCTCCTGGGGAGATGGACGAGAGGTTGGAGGGTACAGGAAAGACAGCGGGAGAGAGGCACTCCGCCAGTGGCTGTACGTTCATCAAGGCGTTTACGCCGCACAGATAGATCAAGGTGGCAGAGGAATGGAGGTGGGAGGCCCGACCTACCCCAAGCACATAAAAAACGCCCAGCTCACGGGTTTAGGTCTTTTAAGCATACATATCCCTGTTCAAGAGAGGAAAGGGTGATCCGCAGGTTCTAAGATGGGGCAGGAATCATACCCAGGACTGAGGCTGGAGACTGATCACCCCAGCCATGGGGAACAGCAAACACATGTGCTATTAGAGATGAGTCTCCAGTGACTGGCTGAAGACCAGAGGCAAGCCACAGGCCCGGCTGCTGGCAGGACGTCGACCCCGAGCTCCCATCAGAAGCTGGATTTCACAGCAAACGCTGAAGAGGATTTCTCAGCGGTTGGCCTGGCTGCCTGTGGGAGCAGAAGGACTCTTAAGGCTATGGGCTGGATAGAGGGAGCTTACACACTGGGTCAGAGCCTCAGGCCTGAAGCCCCTACTGGCGTAAAATCCAGAGAAAGTCTGGCTCTGAACTATGCTGCGGAAGCAGTTTGGAGTCAGCACAAACTGCAAGCCAGGCGCCTTGGGCTTCAGAAGAATTCACACCTGAAGAGCTAGACACAACTCGGAGGCTCTGGCTCGGGCCTCGGGGCTCAGACCGTCCCGGCTTTGGCATAGAGGAAGGTGTCTGTGAGCACAGAGGTGCAAGCTCGGCCCATGGGGGAGGAGAATGTTGGTCAACAGGTGGTCAGGAAACAGGAAATGATGACATTGAAAGACCGTGTCACACCACGTGTGATCTGGCTTGAAATTATATTCGTTTGGGGGCTGGGGTATAGAGCGTTTGCGTAGCGTGAGTGAAGCCCTGGGCTCAGTCTCAGGGCTGAATAAGACACGTGTGAGTACACCCGGAGTCCCCGAGCTTTGGTGGTGGAGGCAGGAGGGTCAAGAGGTCCACGACCTTCTTAGCTGTGCAAGGCAGGTTTGTGCAGAGACGCAACTCGCACAACCGTGTGTGGGCGGGTATGAGTGTTTCTGCAGGGTCTCCGAAAGACCCTGTAACACAGAGATTGGTGACATTACAAGCAGAAGAGGATACTCTCTCTGATGGAGTGTTGGTGGTGGCCCGTGTTGAGACACACAGACACACACACACACACACACATACACACACACACACTGGCAGTGTGTCTTCCCATAAGCCAACACGCTCTCTAAGTCATTTCTCATTTATTTTCTTTTCTGGCTGTGTGTGTGTGTGTGTGTGTGTGTGTGTGTGTGTGTTACGGTCTCACTCTATTGGCCAGGCTAACTTGGAGCTCATTATGCATTATAGAGCCCAGGCTGGCCTCTAATTTGAAGTCATTCTTCCACCCCAGCCTGGCCTAATGTCAAGATTACAGGTATGAGCCACCACGCAAGACAGGACATTTTCTTTTTTGTCGTCGTCTGGTTTTGAGACAAGGTTTTACTGTGTAGTCCAAGTTGTCATCAGATTTGCTGTTCTCCTGTCTCAGCCTGCCACATGCTGGAATTACGGCTGTGTGCTACCACAAGCACCCAGCAGTTTTTATTCTTCAGTGTGTGTGTGTGTGTGTGTGTGTGTGTGTGTGTGTGTGTAGCCCTCTAGGCCACCTGGCCCCCTCCCCCATTCTCACCTTCCCACACTTGACCATCCCTTCCCCTAAGGATTATCTTGTGTCCCTGACTCAGCCTAGGAGCCACCTGGGCAGCAGGGGCCAGGGTCTGTCCCTAAGAGGGTGCCCTGGTGCCCGTGCTGGGCCAGCCCTGTCCTTTCTCCCTCTGTCTTCTGCCCCTGCTTGGGGTTCTGCTGAAGGTAGCTGTTTCTCTGGCTCCTTTTACAGAGAACACTGCTGCTAATTTTGTGCGGAGCTCTGAGGCAGTGTAATTGGAAGCCAGACACCCCGTCAGCAGTCCTGAGCTCCAGTCCTGAGCTGCCATGCTCCCTTCACTCCTGCTTGTGCCCGCTCCTCATTTCATGCTTCCCCTGCCCCCCCCCCCCCCGTCCCAGGAAGGCGAGAACCATCTGGGTTCCTCCTACGTCTCCTAAGCAAGCGAGCCTCCGCTGCTCTGCACCCGTGTGAAGAAAACCCTGGCATGTTCTTCCCGACTCCAGCCTGACTTCCAACGGCCTCCACCCTCAGCAGCCTGACAGTAAACAAACAAACAAAGGTGACGTGGAATCTTGAGGTTGGGGCCAGCCTGGGCTACATAATGAACCATTGTCCCACACAAATAAATATCCACTTAGCCCAAAGGCGACATGAAGACTGGCATGTTTCATTCACAGAAGAAAGTTCTCCACCCCTCACTTTCTGGAGAGTTTCTCCTACCCACTCCCAAAAGTAACAACTTAGCAACCAGACGAGGGACTTGCAATGAGCAAATCAGGAGGAGGAATGACCCAGGGGGAAGTCAGGGCTTTAAATGAAAGTCAGGGATTTAAACGAAAAAATTAATAGGGACCAAAACGCTGAAGCATTTAAAAAACAAAAACAAACAAAAACGCACCACGATCTCAAAAGCAGGTGTCAAGGGCCATTCAGAAAGAAGCATCTCCTTGTGATCCAAACGCTCAGATACCCCCAGGGTGAGACTGAGTATGTTCAGAAAATAGCTGGGGGTCCTCTGAGTCTGAAGAGAGAGAGAAAGAATGTTCAGGTCTCAAAATGCTCAGCACTGTTCGATCTCTCCTTGTGTGGGTGCAGGGCACAGGAAACAGCAGACCCCAGTCCCATTTAGGGGGATGAGACAGAGCGCTGTCAGGCAGGGCAGGGTTAGGAGCCCCAGCAGCAGGACCTGAGGGGCCCCTGGAATGCTTGTGGGGCTGGTAGTTCTGCGGTCTGCATCAGCTACTCTCTTGGGAACAGAAGGAAAATCCCTGATTAGAGAGAGCGAGATTCCTGGGGCTCCCTCATGCACTGAGTTCTCCCCCCTCCTGACCCACATGTGTCTCCCTCATAATTTATGAAGGGGAACTTCACTGGACGTCTCCCGGAGCCAGAAATAGCCACTGCTGGCAGGTCCGAGGCAGAGCTGAGCACCCAGAGGCCGAGAAGGCAAACTCCATGAAGGTAGGGCCCCGCCCTCCTGGAGGCTGAGCCGCTGTGAGCATGCCCTAGCTCTGTTGCCTCCTTGGCCATGACGGCATTCAGGTTTGTGCATTCCGTGTTCTAAACTGAGATTAATGTTTGTCTCCTAGAAGTACGTTAGGCATCTGAGCCGGTGAGATGGCTCAGCGAACAAAGGGGTTTGTTGCCAAGGCTGCCCGCTTGAGTTCGATTCCCAGAACCCACGTGATGGGAGAAGAGAACTGATTCCCAAGTGTTGTCTTCTGACCTCCACATACATCCTGTTGGCACAGACGGCTCGGAGGTTAAGAGCACCACCTGCTCTTCCAAAGGTCCTGAGTTCAATTCCCAGTCACCACATGGTGGCTCACAACCATCTATAGTGAGATCTGGTGCCCTCTTCCGGTGTGCAGGCCCACATGCGGGCAGAACGCTGTATATGTAAAAATAAATAAATCTCTTTAAAAAAATAAATACACTTGAGAACAGTAGAGCTGTCATCTAGTCATAAGGCAATGGGCACCTACTGCATACATGGCTCAGAACACACCTGGAGACACTTGTGTTAACCAAGGCAATGATTGCTTAGTCTAACATCGAGTGCATAGTAGGTGATACAGGAATTATATCATTAACGTTAGCTATGATAGTTTCCTTAATGTGACTTGACCCCTTCCTTTCTCTCTCCCCGGCACATCTATCTCCCATCTATCTCTCTAGGATACAGTTTATCATATTGAAATCTCATTTCCC